AGCTCCACGTAACAAAACTTCAATGAAACCCTTTGTAAACCCAATGAAACTTTGCAACTCATTTTCTAGGAACGTTGCTAGCCTAGTGAATTCTAGCAGAGTTACCCATCAACTCTAGCTCAACATTATTATCTGCGTTATTGCCTTAAGCATCATTATCAATTAGCAACTGCAGTTAATATTCTGTTAAATATGATTTAGCTACATATGCATATTATTAGCACCGACCTAGGGGATTACAACGTCAATTAACTCCAGTTGTCATAAGCATTTACATATCTGTAATACCGTTCTTAATCTGGCCTCCGGACCTTGACCCAGTAAATTAAGAGAATTACTTCTGTGTTTCATTCCCTAATTCGAAACACAATTGTAAGACGCTAGCGCAGTCTGGTCGCTGACTTACACGCCTTAGCCGAACCATAGGGCGTTTGGTACAACTAAACGTTTGGCACGAGTCATAGACCTTAAGGGACTCAATACCGCGCCGCTAGCATTCCCACGTCATACAAACTAAATTCCGAACCTAACGTGAACTATTTGGAAAAATTGACTAGATAAAGTTGTTATAAGATACTACAAATATTAACCGAATGACGAAACAAGGATAAAATAAACTATGCACGATTTTCCCGAACATATTTATTTTGAAACTTTCAGACGCATCGATACAAACGTTGTAAAGCAGGAGTAAAGTAAAGATAATAATTAACTTGAGCCAGTGAACTTACCCATGTCGTAGCATGAAGAACCCAATACTTGTTGAACACACCGAACTTCGGAAATATTTCCACCCTGCAATGATTTGAAAAACTAAGAGCGTGAGTCGTTTCTTTATAGTGAAACACCGAATTTTGACTCGTGTATAAAAATTATTGCATTGCAGGGCTAAAATTTCCTTCAAGCTGGTCAAGCAGCTGTTGCTTCCAGTCAAGAACTTGACGGGCAACTGGTATCATCGACTGCAAGACTCCAAAAATTCTATCGGAATCTGAGTCAACAGCACTCGTGGTATAATCATCAGAGTCGCGTTGATCGACTGGCGTTTCATCCGAACTCCGGGTCGCAGCAGCTAATGTCGTGTCATCAGATGCAAGAGTTGTAGCAGTCGCATCCATAGAACCGTCAGACCTCTCAGATCGCGGCACTGCGGCATCACGGCCCTCCCCCGGCGACACGATCTCTGTATCCACGTTGACAGGCGCGACGGTCTCCCGAATTTCTTTTTCTAGCGTCGAGAGATCGGCCGGGTAGGCGAGCCCCAGGGCGAAGCACAGCGCCACAGCGGCGAAGAACAGGATTTTGTGCATCTGCAAGATGAAACTAATTTTTGTGACTTTTTTGGGTCGATTATTAAGTTTCTTTATGATGGTAATATAATACGTATATTTATTAAAAAAAACAGTTTGCGTAATTATGTGCAAACATTATTTGAATTAAGCTGCGGCATTAGCGATTCAATCGAAACTTGTGTCCTACGTCACTAACATAGAACACCTGCAGTCGCGTACCAAAGTATGTAATAAATAAAAATCCAGAATTTTGTAAACAGCAGCCTGCCGCGTGCAACAAAAAAGTTTACGAACAATTCTGAGGCGTGAGATAACAAAGTTAAATAACTACATAAATCATGAAACGGATTCTCTTTATGAATTCTCATTTTAGACAGTCAACTCTATAAAAATTTGTCCAAATTAGTGAATTTGGTCATAAAATGGATAATTTATAGGAACTCTGTTTCGGCTCAGGAGGACATGAAACGTGTAAAAATAAAAAAACTGTATGGCTCTAACGGTATAAGAAATATTTTCTTTCACAATTCTATTGCATGAAGCTGATTATAGAAGAATACCGTTTAATTTATGAAATATACTTTCTACGAAATAACCTACGCTGAAGAAACAATCTGCCAGATTTCATATCACTGTAAAGCTCGAGTTACTTTGAAATCTTTGGTCCACAATTTGCCTGTAGCTGCTTAAGCTAAGAACTATTCTTCTCAGCTAAGTTACCAATGCATGCATGAGGATGGCAAACTAATTTTTTTATAAAATTATTGGAATTTATGTTTTCCTCCAAAGGAATTCTGAAACTCATTAGTTGTGAATTGGACGTTGAGCGGATTACATAGAATATTGCAGAGTACGGATACACATACAACTCGTGGGCTTATGCTCAACGAAACATGAATTGAAGCTTCGTTGCCTACTTCTTGATGGACACATGTACACACTTAATTTAAACTTGATCGTATTAGACCGGCATATTCAAGATCTCAATGTATTAAGAGATCTGTGATGGATGCATAATTGAAGCAGTAACCGATAAGAAATTTAGACGAAATTGATGTTCAAAGAAGAAATTATGAAGATATGAAATCATTTTATTTTCTATTTTTGTTCTCTCGTCATTATAGTTAGAATTGTGACGATTCCGCCCTTTCCGGGTGACGACTGTGGATTGGAGTGGAGAAGTTCTGACCACGCAGGTGGCGGAGTAACGTCATGCAGAGGAGCCGTTGCCCATGAGCCAGCTACTGTAGGTCATTGTTGTATGCCCGTTCCGTGAGTAATGTGTAGGTTGTAGTTTTGTATTTTCTTGTCTCGCCGTTATAAATTAGAATTGTGAGTTACTTCACTGTATTCTAATTAAAAATTCATGCGGAGTATAAAGAAGAAGAAACAAAATTTAAACTCTTAAGCGACGTTACGCCGTTTGATTTCACAAGATCAGTTAGATGCGCTCATGAATTGAACAATAATTATAAACGTCATTAAGAACATTAGAGATACGGATGAATATTACGCAGGAATGCATCATAAAATTGATATTTTGCTTGATCCTTCGGTTGGCCTAATTGTTCTCGTATATATTTAATTGTTATGAGCTGCTCTATGACTGTTCGTCACATTCAATTTATTTTACATTGTACACACTCGTGAATCATCGAATCATAAGGCGCATTAGTAGACGCATCAGGAATTTTTTTAATGTCACACGTGTGACGTGCTAGGAAATTTCCGAGCCTCCCTTACGCCTATTTTAATTTCTACATCCTGGACCAGATTGTTAAATTAACCATAGAATAGCTGGCATTGCATTTTAATGTGGTCTGGAGGCGCACTACACGGATGTTCCAAATCCCTCTTGTACTTGAAGCGGATCATAATCATTAATCATATTTCAATTTAAAATATGATTGATTGATCACGTTCAATGACAGGCAAACGCTAAACGTACTGCAGATACGGTCGTTAGAAAAGATGCTGTGAAAAATATAAATTGCATAATGAGACGCAATCCCACTTGACATATGAAATTTTGAATATAATAATAGATGCAGGTAGGTATATCTAGTTTAAAGTCCGTACAATAGCTGCTTCACAACGGACGTTTGAGAATTAAGGTGGCCAGGTACCTCATCACACGAAACATGTGATGAGGCCAGGTACCTCATCACACGAAACATACCTTCATAAATCAGGTCTCATGCCTCGCCTCCAGTCTGCATACCGTCGTCACCACTCGACGGAGACCGCCATGCTGAAGGTTCTTTCGGATATTCTGCAGGCGGTCGACCGCGGCAACATCTGTCTCTTATACACATCTAGATGTGTATAAGAGACAGGNTAGCCCTTGTTGAACCAAGGGCTGATTTCCCAAAAAAACTATCTTGACTCTAAAAAATTACACTACGTAACAATTATTATTTCTATGTTAAATAATTTTATTTGAACAGCAACTTATCTCTAAATTTTCTATGACTTTACGTTTCAAGCGATAAACGAAGAAATGCTAGTTATGAAGAAATGCTAGTTATGAAGTTACTTTATTGAAAAAATACTTTAATCTACCAATCTCAAAAATTATCCACATATACATATAAAAAATCAGTATTTTATTTGTATATATATGTGGCTAATTTTTGAGATTGGTTGATTAAAGTAGACATCCATGTGGGAAGGTGAACCATAAAAATAAATGTGTAAAAATAACTGTAAGCAAACTTAAGTTAGGTGGCTGATGTCCATGATGTGGATGTGGACATGTGGTGACAGCTGGCATGGAACAAGAACAAGTGGTAACTGGTAAAAACTTGACAACTAACAACTAACATGTTGACACTAGTAACAGGCAAAGGTTGACAATGCCCAATGATGTTAGAGAAGATACATTTTGAAAAGTCCAAGGCATTAAATCTCTAAAAAATCAAGACAGCAACCCTACAAACAGCGCTTTGGGCAGTACGTTTGCAAGACGACCATGAAAATGTTCCGTACTATGGTCACCAATAACATAGAAGATGAATATAAATAATTTCTAGATATGGAAGGCTTTAGCAAGCACTCACTTGTGAGTGGATCGTGATAAAAAGAAGCCGAGAAGCTTGAGCGCCTGTAGTCTGACAAGTTGGCTGCTGGACGCCAGGAGTTTAAAGACCGTGCGGGTGCCAACTTTGCTGTCGAACGCAGGTACCATCGACGCAGGCTGCTCCGACATCAGTGACATGAGCATCTGCAGCACGTCGTGCAGGTTCTCGTCCTGCACAAACAACAATTATTTGGTCAGGACAAACCTGAGATCGTTCTGTAAGGCATTAGCAGCGCAAATTGTTTAACACGTTTCGTAATTCATTTGTGAATTTCATTCATTTCAAGATTCATTCATTCATTTACAAGATGTGCGGCTGATGAAGTATCAGATAAATCCCTCCTACCATTAGCACCAACCAATAATATTTATGTCATCTCTCTGGAAATTTCCGTGAATACTATAGGAAAAGAGGCAATAGATTCCCGAGGAATTGAGTCCTCGTTGTACATTGAACAAACGATAAGAACGCATAATGAATTACATATTCTACATCAATATTCCCGGCCTATCAGGTTATAACTAACGCTGACCACGTCGCAGGATAATATCGACCCTCGTGACGGGCGTTGCGTATAACAGATAAGGGGCTATATAAAAGCGCTACCACCTCCCATACCTCACAGAAAGTCCAGCATCTACACAAGAAACATTTCCGTAGCTACTCTGCCAAGGTGTGTCTCCGAAAATGTTTTTTTTTAAATATTTTTCTTGTTTTGGTTGATTTCTATGTGACGGCCCATCGACAGTCCATATGCTATAACAGAGATTCTTCTCTATATATATAAGAGAATCTTAACGTCGGTTATGTTTAATTCATTTGTTTCGTGCAAGAAATAGGTATTATTCGTATGTAACACCTCAATTCAATTATTTATGCATAGAAATGAACTATAACGCGAGTGTAGACGATTGTGCTGGTAAGCTTTTCTACTGTATGAAGAGCATAAATTGTTCACTGTCACTCCTTCACGTCAGTGACGTCACTAGAACTCATGTTGTGTGTGCCAAACATCTATTGCACCAAATAATTCGCTTAGATGTGTAGTGCGTATACGTCGTACACTTCTGATACTTTCATTTCCACGTGAGACACCATAGTGAATAAAATCTCTTTTAATATTGCTATCTAAATTCAGTTCATGTTTACCCATACCTACAAAAACTTTGATTTAATAGGGAAAATATGTTATCGTGTCATTGAGAAAATTCAAATTGACTCGAAACGAACTGGAGATTTGGCTTTATTCTTCAGATGCAAACGATGCTGTTGCTCACCGCTGTGGCGCTGAGCTCGACCCTGGGGCTCGCCTACCCGGCAGATTTGGTGAAGCTAAACGAAGAACTTGAGGCCACCGTCGCGCCAGTGGCCACGACTTCTGAAATTGGGACTGTGGATGACAGCCGTGAAGCCCCAGCCAAGCAGCGGTCTCGGAGATCTCTCAGTTTGGACGACAGTAACGTTGCTCCGAATAATTTTCCTCAAACGTCTATAGCTTCGTTAATACAAAATGAAAATACTGGGCCTGCGCAGCAGCGTGATGATTTGGTTCACGCTCCTTCGAAACCTGACAATGCGGCGAAATCTACAGTAGAAGAGATTGGGCAATCCAGTGGAAGCGGACCATCGAATCCATTGGATCTTTTGGCAGAACTTGGCGGCAAAATGATTCAGGTGAAAAAACACATTCTTGAGTCTTTGGAGTGAAATGAATTCAGCTCATAAATTTTGTGGACAACTTGCATACAAAGCAAAATGATGGGGGCCGGCTTGGATTTAAGGGGACGACTCCAACATCTTTTCGGTATTGCGTATCAACACAGGAATATTAAACAACTGCAATTCCACATCATACGCAGTGTACTATAGTGTGCGCTGAATTGCAAGCCTAGCTCGATCACATTACATGTGAAGCGATTTTATTCATCTGAAGGTTGAAGTTTAAACCATAGTGACCATACCATTAACAAGCAGTTATTTGTTCATGCTTTACTTGTTTACCGTTGCTAATTTCTCTTTTGGAAAGTTATCCCTGAAGTAAATGGGTTCGGTCCATGCTTATGGTTTAAGCAATAATGTTTGTACTTTTGAATATTAATATATTTGGTAATCAAGCTATTGTCAATCTTGCCCTCATTGTGTCACGTAATGAACATTTGTGATAACCTACGACGGAAACCTCATCCATATGCAGGATAGTTAGTAAAATACTCGAGTCAACTGAAAAGAATTCGCTGGAAACATCCTAATGTGAATAGGATGAAAGAGAAGAATATTGATCTTCTCTATTCGGTAACACTGAAATATTGTCTCTCAGCTTAGCTTCAGGGACAAATTTACTACCACAAATATCCAATTTCCAATTTCGTCCATGCATTCATCAGTATAAATATGATTCAAGTTAGTAGACTTCATTTAAGTTCTTTATTGAAGTTCCCTGATTAACAATATTAGTTCATATATCAGAGAAATGCTGTTTTTTGATGGCAATATGAAGCTAAGCTATGATCACTTGAAAATGCAAGTGTTGCGATTAGTCAAGCGCTTTTCACGGCAATAAAACAGACGGTAATAGGAAACATAGGGACCCATGAAGTCACTCGAGGCTTTCCGTCAGTTTCAAGCTTGAAATCCCATCTAAAACCCTAGCCCAGCTGGCATTCGGTGGTTAAATCGACGTTGAAACAACTACCTATTACGATCTTGAGATCGGGGCGAAGAGAGGGACTTTTCCCTCCTAAGGAGGGAAAAGCCCACTAACCCTTTGTCATCTTCAGAATGTCACTGTACGTGCAAGCGTTTGTAGCTCCATACCAGTGCAGAACTTTAACCTGGAAACGTGAAAAATAGTCAATATTTTATTTTATTTAGTCAATAGTCAATATTTTAGTTGCGCGAAAAACAGCCAAAAAGTAGGAAAAAACTCATGAAAATAAAATATTATACCTACCTATAATTATTAAATCTTAGACAATGTATTGTTCCGAGCTAATCGGGATTCTTATATGAATATTTACAGGAGTTGACAGAAAGTTGACCATAGCCAAACTCTGTCAATTCAGAGGACCATAGCCAAACAAATAGTATTTGATGCGTTTAGTTGAAGCTGATCAGATATAGATGGGGAATGAAATTTTTGCCCTCATTGGGGGATATTGTGGGCTGCACTGCCGAGACCGTAGCTTGGGAAGATAGTAGGGAGAGATAGGGAAGAGCAGTGAGTGCAAAGGCTTACAGTCTGCGCGTGCGAAGGAAGCGACTTATATTATATTGACTTATATTAACCTTGGAATTATGCTTCACAAGTGCATGGTATACCGATCAATAAAGAATAAATAGTTAAACCGATGGACATCGAGAAAATGGTAGAAAAGCCACGTGTTTTACGAACAACGGGGTGCAACATTTTATCCTTCCTAATAACAGTTGAAAGACAAAATTTGCAAAATTTATCTTAACGTCTGTGAAATGAAGAAAAATAGCTGGAATAGCATTCCAAATTTAAGACTTGTATCTTATTTAGGACGGGAGTTATAGTTTAAAGAAATAGCGAATTTATTAACAACACAGGAGTGAACGCAGCCTTACGGAAGTACCTCAACCTCATAAGTATTAATAGCTAGTGTTAATATAGTACAATAGCATTGACAAAATCAACTTGAAAATCAAAATGCACAACTTGACCTGCACAGTGGTTACCTTTTGAAATTAGAGCGTGGAAACTGAACAAAGTTGTCGCCTAAATAAAACTTAATGCTTACAAAATCGCAAGTATTAAGCTGATTCCAATAATCTTCTGTGCTTCGATGAAGGGTATGAATATAATTCTTCGTTATGTTCATCTAAAGTTAAGTTCTTTTCTACCAGCCCACCATCTCAACGAAGAACTTCTCGTCGGTATCTTTGATGTAGGCCTTCTATTTGATCCTTATTCGTGGATTTTCAACGCCATATCTGAAACTTACAAACTGAAATATCAAACAGTAAACCCCTCTACCACCCAGTGGCAGCTCAGCATGTACAAAGTACAGCGCTGATCAGACGACAAGTAAAATATCAAAATATTGCTTTGACGGCATTTAAAAAAAATTCGAACGAAGGGATCTTGCGTGCCGACTGGATAAGAAGCTCAAGTGACACCATTGTACAAAAAAAGGTGACAAGAGCTGCTCGGGCAACTATCGCCCTGTCAGTTTGATCAGGGCGTGTCGTTTGCAAGGTAACGGAATCTGTTGTGAGGGATCGATTGATAGATCATTTGACTGTTAATACTTTCATATCAGACTGTCAACATGGCTTTATTGACGGGAGATCCTGCACCACTAACCCTTTGTCTACTCTGAACGAATGGACCTGCCTGCTGAACGAAAGGGCGCCAGTAGATGCAGTGTACCTCGGTTGTACCTGCTGCATGAAGTGATATCTTTAGAAATAAAGAGTAATGTACTCAAATGGATCAGAGATTTCTGGTAGGTGGACAAAAACGTATCAGTATCAATGGGACCGTATCAGATTGGGCTTCAGGGCGCAGCGGAGTGCCGCAAGGAAGCGTTCTTGGGCCTGTTTAATTCGTTGCGTCCATAACATGTGCAGCAATGACTGCACATTAAAACATAACAGTCAACTGCAAATAACATGTGCAGTTGACTGGACTGATACGTGACAGCTGAGTTTTAATACTGACAAGTGTAAAGTCAGTAAGAACCCTTGTTAAGAACAATAAACAGTAAGATTACTGTATCAGAAGACATGGGTGCAACGAGAAAGTGATGATGTCGAAGTCGACAATGGAAAAGGATTTATGAGTTTATGCCCACGATGAGTTGAAAATTCTCCAAGCATATTGAATCTCTAGTTAATAAAGCCAATAAACGACTTGGACTGATCAGACGCTCATACAAGTACCTAGATACAGAAGCGATGAAGCTGTTGTTTGTCGATCGTGCGCCCGAACCTAGAGTTTGGAAACGCCGTGTGGTCACTGAAAATTGAAGAGGCAAAAAATTTAGTCGAGAGTGTTCAAAGACGGGAAAAAGAATATTTCCGGGGTTAACTGGCAAATGATGTGAAGAAAGATTAAAGATTATGAATCTTCCGAGTCTATGTTATCGACGTTTGCGTGGTATCCGACGTGGCGACCGCAAGTATACCCACGGTTTATGCAAGGTCCCAGAAGGAGTCCTAGGATTTGAAACAAGAACCAACACCAGGGGCCACGGCTATAAACTAAAAAATGTGCTGTAACACATCCATGCGACAACATTTCTTCTCGCTTTGAGTCACCGACATGTGGAACAGCCTCCCTGATAGCATCGTTGACGCTCGAGTATGAACGCCTTCAAGAACAGACTAGACAAAGCTTTGCCGGAGCATATGTTCAGTCTTGAAATGCCTAGCACCTTACAAACCTTGTAATAAGTCCATCTGCTATCTCAAACAATCGTCAGTTACAAAAGATCTGGTCCAGCCGGATCCCTTGTGAATCATGACACAATTAAAAAGTACAAGAATCGGCAACAGGCCATGGGCCTTTTTCTTTAGTGCCGACATTTTTGTTTTATTCTGTTTCGGTTATATCACCGCCATGTTCAGAAGTGCTACTCTGAGGACGATGGTGTCGGTTGACAGGTAAAGTGAAGAGTGTAGCTGTTGAGTGACCGAAGCTGGAATAGTCAGTGTATTTTAATTTTAATTTTTTATGCGATTTATAGATGAGAAGTAAGAATACATGATTTTATAAATGAAGCGTGTTATAAAATTTGATTCAGTAATTTATGAACAATTCAGCAACTACATTTCTTTTCATTGCGATTTCAGGAAAAAAAAAATTAAAAATCTTGCGCTCGTTTGGCACGTTGAAGTATTTACCTAATAATTACCCATGATTCAGTAATTAAAGACTCTGAATTGGTATTTAACTTGACTGCAGATTATTTTTTTATCCTCGCTTAAAGTTCATGCACCTAATAAAAACACCAAAAAGGTCTAACTTACAAATTCTTTACAAAACAAGATCTGGCATAAAATGGAGGCGGCATTCAGGTTACATATAAACGTATTTGAAGAACTTTCTTATTGTATTCAAACTATGATGATACATGAACGCCATCTCATAATATAAGACATTTACACAAAAGATATAGTATTTTATAGTTTCATAATCTGCTAAGCTATGATTAGTTCTTCAAAAAAATTCTTGCATACAAAATATACGAAGTTAAAACTTCTTGAACAGAATAAAATTATTCGGCGAGCAATGATGACAATTCCGATGAATTTCGATTAAAATTCGATCATACATATATTATTATTATATGATCCTGGGACCAAATTCGTTACAAGTTTGATTTTGAAAATGCTATCATAACATTTTTTCTGTCATCAATTGGATACCATACACTATCTTGTTAATCTACTGAATTCTGGATCAGTTTTAAGCGTGAGCATGAAATGTTTCAAATTTCATGCTCACCTACCGTCATGCTCACCTACCGTCACCTCTCATGTCACACCTACCGTGATTAAAAAATACTTCATTGATAAAACAATAGTAACAGGGTTCTTCGCATGCATCAAAGTTCCATTGTCGCATGACAACAAACATTGTTCTGAAGTTTTCGCTTAAGTTCAAGTTAATGTAAAATGGTGTAAAAAGTATTCAATGAGACACATGTTAGTTATGTTATGTATAATAAAAAAGTTGTTTGTATTTGCCTTAACTACAACGTAAAATAGTTATCATTGAACATCGACAGGGAAACACAAAATATAAGAACTGGATTCAATATTTTATTTTTGTCGTAGATTCACGGTGCATTACTTTTAAAATCAGTTCATTGAAATTTGATGAATTAATATGCGCTGGATAAATGTACTCATTAATTTTAATCATCCATCTTCCCTATTTTGTTTTGTTTAATCTACATATGTTATTAAGTTCTTTTGTGTCCCTAATCATAAAAATATTTTGTCGTAACATGTTAACAATAAAACATGTTTAATATAACAAATAATCAACAAAAATAAGATAACAAATAACATGATCAATTTTAATAGACAGACGAGAAAAACATGTGATAAACACGATGTTCGTTTATTTT